CTGGTATGGTGGCTAGTGTAGAACCCAGATGGACTACTTAAATTAGGTACCAAAAGTACATGTGTAGCTAGTTGTATCCTCATGAAATTAATATAATATCGTAATTATCTGAATAAAGCTATGTGCCAGGGACCTAAGTGGTCACCTTAATATTAAAAAAAAAAAAAAAAAAATCTTTTATTATATTATCTAAAAGTTCAGTTATTTATATATTGTATTTAAAAATTGGCACATAAATATCTAGACATTAACCAATCAAAATTTGTTCATGTGTAAATATTAATCAATAAAATCTCAGTAATATAATGTTATATAATAAATTTTTAAATCTAAAAATCTAAAAAAAAAAAAAAATATCACAAAATAAAGAGCTTACCAATTCCGGATACTATAGATATAGCTAATTTCATAATAAATTATTTTATTCTATACCTTGAATCTATTATATTACTTTGTATAAATACTTATAAGAAAAAAGCATTAAAGATTATAATTGATCAGATTTGGTCCCTAAAATCTAACCAGCAATTATATAATACACAGTTAAGCTTAATTATATATTATAATACAGAGAGATCTCACTAAATATATACTCTATGCAAAATCTCTTTATAGGCTGACCCCAGCTTATAATAGCACTATATATTTTGCTCTTAATAAATGCACGCCCTCTCAAAGTGCACATTTTTGAAATTATTTACTATGGTTTCAAGAGGGTGCATTTAGAGAGGTCTCTCTGTATGCCACAATCTAGAAGCTAAACCTGATAAATTATAAAAAGTTAAATTTTAGTTTTTTAGTTGATAATAACTATATATTAATAGCTCAAAAAATAGTTATTGATATTGATTTCAATAAATCAGAAATAATGCATTTAAAAAGCCATTATAAATTTTTCATCAAGATCTACTGCTAAAATCAGAATGTTCAAACTTGAAGTTGATAAGAATCTGAAATAAAAACTCTGTGAAAAAAGGTTTATAAAAAAAAAAAAAAGTGATCAGTCAAGCATAATTAAGAATCATAAATAATAAAGTGAATTTTTGAAAAAGAAAATAACAAGCAATATCATGAATTTATGAGAATGTGAAACTTACATTTGTTACGATTTGTCATGAAAGAAACTTCATTAAATTTGCCTAGATTAATTAGTTTAGTTATAATAATTCATTATATTCTTAACTTGAACTTGAATAAAGAATAGCTATATTTAGAAATTCGAAACAAATAATTCTTCGAATTGTGTGCTTCTTATTTCTCATAATGTAACTTTTTGCATGTAATTGCAATAGCCTGAATTAATCTGCTAATCTAAAAAAATAAATTAATTAAAATCCATTATTGGTAGATTTTTGGATAAGATATATTAATGCATGTGAAAATAAAAATAGATCTAGAAACTGCTTCAAATTCATATAAAAGAATATATTTAAAATAAGAAATCAAATACTTTTAAATAAAAAAAAATTTAAAAAATAATACCCCAGCATGTTACACCTCAAAGGCTAGCCTAATAAATATATTAATTAGAGAAACAGATTAGATCAAAGTTTACAATTGTATTAAAAGTTATATAAAGAACAATTCAAATTAACTTTGATTTTTTTTTTAATATAAAATTATTTATAATGATGTCAAAAATAAATCTTTGAATAATTTGTTTTTTTTTCAAAATTTCTTACTATCAATAACATGCTTACAGAATAGGTTGACTAAAAAAACATTTATTAATATGTCGAACTAATGCTCTAAAAGCGAAAAGCATAAAAAAAAACTATGATCAAGATGACATACTAATAGTTGATAATGTGTATGATTTGGAAGATGAAGAAGCTATAGAAATAGTCTTTGAAAGACTAATTCAAAATACTTACATTGTAAGTAATGAAAGTAAGAATTCATAGTAGAGATACACAGAAAATTCTGTTCAAACAAGACAATAAAAATTACAACAAAATCAAATAAATGCTATAGAAAGTCATAAAATAACAGAGTTTTTTGATTAAGCAAATAATATAAATTTGAGTGATGATGAAATAACAAATGATTCTCAATCAGATTATGAAAATAAAACTAAGATTGAGAAAGAATCATTACAATGGAAACAGAAGCTCCAAGAAATGGAAGAAAGAATACAATATTTAATTAATACTAGCAAAAGTAAAATATATTTCTATCATTCATTATATAAAACTTCTTCAAAACAACACTTCTAAAATAGAAGCAAGTCAAATTGTAGCGCATATTCATAACAGAGATAAGTACTGTGCTAGATATATACAAGCATAGGTGAAAAAGTGCTTAGAAAATTATCTTATACCTCCATCTCAGTGTGGAAAGCATCTATCCAAATCACTTCTTTATAATAAGTACATCTCTTTAAGAATTGCAAACTACTTAGAGCAACAAAATTTTGAATAAAGGTTTAAAAAAAATATAAATATTGTATCTAGACCAGACCTAATAAAGAAAAAATTGGTAAGT